GCTTTATAAAGTTCATGAGCATCAGTTGGTGTTTTGCTTGCGTGTTTGTGAGGTTCTCAGATCCCCCGGAACTGTAGTAACTCCAGTTACTACACATCTATAACATCATATGGGCCCTGGGACTTGAACCTGGCCCTCAATTCCCTATTAGAGTCTTGTGATCCCACCTCACACCAGTGTGGAGATTCTGTGGAACCACACTCATCTGTATTATGCTATAGATGAAGCCAGGCTATGTATATACTAGGAAAGAACTCTTACCAAGTCATGTTAAAAAACTCTAGGCCAGGTGGCAGCGCACGCCTTTAATCCCAGCACTCAGGAGGCAGAGGTAGGCAGATCTCTGAGTTCGAGTCTTCTGGCTACAGAGAAATCGCCTGGGGCAGGCGGGCGGGGGAAACAAAAAGTCTACAATTACCAAGTTGAAGGCCACCTCAAAAATAGCCTAATCCCAACCACATTCCTCTTGAATTAAGAGTCTGAGGAGCCTATGAGAGGGCTTACTATGTCCAATGGGAACATAGCTAGCAGATAAATAGTCTCTGCGTGAACACTGGTTCAACACCCAGTCTCCTTCCAAGTAGTAATAAAGGTATGGGCTAGAAGCAGCATGAATGACAGTGGCGTTTGCTCACACTAAGTGATAAACCTAAAATGCTGTGTGTCAGAAGCCAGCCAAGGAAATGCTGCATGTACAAAACCCCAGTAGACTATCACAGCATGTGTCAAGAACCCTTCAGTCACTTCACTTAGCAAATGAGCAGTTAACACCATACAAGACAGGCTAAGTGTTGGCCTAAGAACATAATATAAAAACATACCAGATTGTTAAGATAAAAATATACTCCAACCCAGTTTTTTGTCAGTGTCTTTAATCATAAAAATCTTTATGTCCCTTGCCCAAAGGAAAACGAGAAGGCAACAGTCTGGCAGTATAAAAATAGACAACTGGAAGAGTACTGGACAACTAACCCCCACCTGGGATTCTGAAAAGAAAAGCACATTTAGACAAGGCACTAAAGCAGTGACTCTTAAGAGAACTATGGGATGTTTATTACCTGTAACTCTTCCATATTAACAGTGCTAGGGTCACTCTGGAAACCCTGAGTACCTAAACGGTACATGAAGGCTAACTACAACACACCTAAGTATGTACAGCAGAGATAACCTATAATAAAATGAGAAACCCACACTCCCAATTCTCAAACACTTTTCTTGATTATCTCAAAGTACGACTAACAGTGACTTCTAATGAACACCTATAGCCACCGTAACTTTTAATATCACACTCAAGAAAGTGATCAAGACTGGCTAATTTGACCTACAATTACAGAAATTACAAGAGCATTTCCAAATAGCCACAATCTAAATGTCAGTTCAGTTTTAAATGTCCACATTTGGTATTTCCTACTAAGCCAAACAAGCTAGGGCTTCCAGTCTACTGATCCAATTAATGATCAATAGCCAGTTAGGTTGATGTCAACAAAGAGTAGAACTCAGTTCTACCATGGAGGACAAAAAAAGGGTCCAATCTTCTAACATGTTAACAGGAAGTCTAAATTTGAAAGTATCTTCTTTGAACATGGGGCACTTTTTTCAAAGGCTCATGCTGGAACCTTATGAACACAATTCTCTCTTTTCTTACTGAGATTTATTGTTAAAAGCAAACATAATTGGGGGGAGGTACCTCATAAAAACAAAATCAGTACAGCATCTAAAAACTATCTCAAAAGAGCACATTTAAGAAAAGTTAAGCCACAAGACTGTTGCATTATGATTTAATCTAATTGCACACACACACACACAATCTGAAAGCACAACTCCTCCAGATTTCTCAGAGACAGGGTATGCATGCCTCCACAGTCAACTGTGCATTGTTACATTTAGCCACATGGTAGATTTTACATCATGATCAGTTTGGAATCCCATGCAAGACCTCAAGTTATCAAATGAAATCAATTTTTAAGCTTTGTTGAATGTTTTCATGCTGAAGATAAAAGCTACTTTTTATGGGCAACTTAGAGTTACAATACCACACTGGTGCTACTTTACAATGTTAGTGACATGATCTTGAATTGGCTTCAACTTCTAAATCTTAGCTAGGTGACAGCCAAAGGGGGGAAAAAAATTCTTCACTAATCCAGTGCCTTTCAGTTATGTTTCTTACAAAGAAAAGAACTGGGTAACCAAATGCTTTTCCAGGGATAACAATGGTAACAGTGGGTTTGCTCAACTGACTACTACACAATTAGGCTAGTATTTTATTAATCCAAAAGCACTTTACAAGAAAATATAAGTATGGCTTCCAATAGGAATGTTATACTTGGACTTGATACCAAGCTCACAGATTTGAGTGTGTAAGGAAAAACAGGCTTTCAAGTTAAACAACAATTTGTAACCAAAACTTTAATCCCAAGGACCCTCACAAACATATTACAAATGACAGCATGAAAAGAAATCTTGCACAGAAACTCAAAGGTTCAGCTCTACAATGTACCCTGAAACCAACTGGTAACTCAGTCTTCCATTTCCAAATAAAGAATGTTACAGACGCTTCCTCCATAGATAGCAATCAGTGAGGAACCTCTTTGAAAGTCTTCAGAGTGCAGTTCCCACCCTTTCCCTGTTAACTTGTGTTAACAGCAGCTTTTACAGACTGCTTATCATTACACCCACAGCTCCCGACTGTAATCCAGCTAAGAAACTAATTTTTTCAATTTCCATCAGTGGTTTATCATTAGTACATCACACTTTAACTGGGCAGGATCTAGGTTTATTTCAGTCTATGAAAAACTAAAGTTCAAAGCAAATTCAATCTTGCTTAAGGGAACATGAACAGCTAAAACATCTTAAAAATGCACCAAGCTTATGAAGTCTCAAACAAAACTTGAATTTCCTG